AATCCCCCTACTGGGCATCTACTCAGAAGAAGGAAGCAACAGACCAAGACCAGACTTCTGTGCCAATGGTCCTGGCAGTGCAGTTCACAATCACGAAGAGTTGGAAACAATCTAAATGTCTATCAACTGACCAATGGATTAAAAATCTGTGGTATATACATACAACAGAGTACTATGCAGCTCTAAAAAGCAGCTATGAGGGCATGAAGCACATTGTCTCATGAGAAGAGTTGCAGGAAATTATGCTAAGCGAAGTTAGCCAAGCACAAAAGGACAAGTATAACACGAGTCCACTGTGGTAAGTTCAACAGTACAATGGACATAGAAGATAAGCTACTTAATGCATCAATCCCGGGTTGAGGTCCAGGCACTTTGGCAGGGGTCTGACCCAACCCAGGGATGCATTTGGCAGCCAACTAAAAAGGAGAGGGAGAGGGAGAGAGAGAGAGAGAAAACACACACACACACACACACACACACACACACACACACAAAACCCCAAGGGTGATAGGGGAACAGGGCACTAATTTGTTGTTTATGTCTCTAGGAGAAAGAGAGAGGGGGATCAGACCCCATCCCGGAGCTCCAATCCCTAAGGGCAACATACCAGCATAGAGCAGCAAACTAACAGAGAGGATGGAAGGCCAGGCCCAAACTGAGCTATGCTGAGCCCTCCCCAGAAGAATGCACCACAGAGGACAGCACTGAAGATATAGCCCAGGGAGAGAGGTGGGTCTGTCCAGACCACAGGGGTGCAAACTAAGAGGGAAAGAGAGAGAGAGAGTATGGACCTCATCATGGCCCACCAAGCCCCGGGAATGACATCCCTGCTCAGAACAGCCAATGCACAGAGAGGAACACAGGACCGGCCCGCCACGAGACCCACAGAGTGCCCGGTCTTTCCCATGCACAGCTGGGCAAAGCTCGAAGGGAGTGCAACGGTACAGCAAGGGGAGCAAAGTCGCCAAGTCCCTGAGGAGTCCTGATAGTAGGCTTCTGACCCAGGGGACAGGGCTTGCACCTCATCAGATGTGATTGGAAACACTCCTAAGACAGACCTTGTGTTAGTCTATATAAACTAACTAACTCAAATCTGGGACTATTGATCAGGTTTGGGTTTTTCTTTCTTTCACTCTGTGCCAATCTGTATAAGATAGGCAAGACAAACAATCCCAAGGAGAAAACAGTGGGACCCATGCATGGTCCCAGGGGGACATGGGAGAGGAGGCGGTGGGGAGGGGGAGCAGGGAGCTAACAAACTCAGGGACAAGAGAAAATCAAGTGATCTAAAATTGATGAATAGGAGGGCGTATAATGCCTGGTGGGGTTTGATAAAGTGCAATGTATCCAAGAGGATTACTGAGAGCCCAATGGAGGGTGAGCATGATAGTGGGGCAGGAGGAGGGTGAAAGTAAATACAGGAAATAACTAGGAGGCAAGAGCTATTTATACAGGTATAGCTATAGGCATGTATACATGTAAATATATTAATTTATAATGAAAGGGTCAAGGTACATACATTTTTATATTAAGTATTAAGATAGCAGACAGACTTCGGGCCTCTGCTCAAGCTCTCCCTCAACGCAAGAACACTTTGTTCTAACAACCTGGCATTCTGTGATGCTCACCCTCCCAGCTCAATTGCTGAAGACAAAATAGGCGCATAAGCAAATGTGGTGAAGAAAGTGGATGGTGCCTGGCTATCAGAAGATATAGTGTCAGGGGTCTTACAGGATTGAAGTTAAACAAGCAGCCATCTGTCAGGGAAGCAAACAAGCCCACATGGAAGAAGCACATCAGCCTGCGTGATCATGTCGATGGGATCAGGTATCAAAAGATCCAAAACAAACACTTGTATCGATGTGAAAGAGGGGGGTTGGAGTGGAAACCCAAAGTCCATTTGTAGACAATTGGGACATCCCTCCACAGAAGGGTTACAAGGAAGGGATGATTCAACAAGGGTGCAGCATAGCAAAGAAACACACATCATTCCTCTAGTTCCTGAATGCTTCCCACCCCCAGCCCCCACTACCATGACCCTTACAAATCTGGCTAGACTGGAGTACACACATTGATACCGATAAGAGCTCTCAATAGATAGAGTTCAGGACAGGTAAATCCCTCAGGAACAGAAATAGGGGTAGCAATATCAGGAGGGTGGGTGGAGGAGTGGAGGAAGGGGGAACTGATTGCAATGGCTGACATCTAACACCCCCCCCAACCAGGAAGACAAACAACAGAAACGTGGGTGAAGGGAGACAGCAGTCAGTGTAAGATATGAAAACAGTAATAATTTATATTTTCCCAAGGGCCACAAGGCCGGGGAGAAGAGAAGCCAATACCAAGGCCAACATAGAATGTAAATGTTTAGAAGATAATGATGGCAGCCTGTGTACAGATATGCATGATACAATTGATGCATGGGATGTTGTAAGAGCCGTTAGAGCTCCCAATAAAACGATTATTAAAAGAACCCCTCAGGAACAATAGTGGGAGTAGTGATATTGTGAGGGTAGGGGGATGGTGGGAGGGGGACATGGGAGGAAGGGGGACCCCAGCACAAGGTTGGATATAACGACACCCCCAGGGGGACGAATAACAGAAATGTGGGTGAACGGAGACAATGGACAGTGTAAGATACGAAATAACAATAAAAATATATAATTGATCAAGGATTCATGAGGGTGGGAGAGGGGAAAAGAGGAGCTGATCCCAAGGGCTCAAGTAGAAAGAAAATGGTTTGGAAAGGTCGATGGCAACTTCTGTACAAGTGTGCTCAATACGGTTGAATGATGGATTGTCATAAGATTTGGAAATAAAATGATTAATAACAGTAAACAAATTTAGAAAAAACGGACACATTCCTAAGAAAAAAATTAACAGCAATAATTTATGAAATTAAAAAAATTGGGTTACAGTCTCAGAAGCCCACAGGGGCAGTGCCACCCTGTCCTTTAGGGCCACTATGAGTCAGCCTCGACTGGGTGGCAGTGAGTTGGGTTTGGGGTTTGGGGTGGACTATGGGTTGGGTGGTTGACGACAAGGTCTGCAGTTTGGACCTACCAGCTGCTCCTCGGGAGATGAAGCGTTCTATTCCCATAAAGATAGATTTATAGCCTCAGAAACCCACAGGGGGAGCTCTGGCCTGCTCCGCAGCGTTGTTGTAAGTAAAAAGTGATTCCGTTTCCGTGAGGCATTTTGTTTGTTTGTTTGTTTGAGGACTTTAAGATCTATAGCCAGGGCTACAGAAACTGAGACCAGGTTCTACCTCCAGTGTCGTCAGAGATAGATGATAGAGAATTATCCCTTACAACTGGTGTCCGTAATTCAAACATCTGGTCTTGCAAATCCGGAGAAAGTATATTCGTGCCTTTGCTTTAAAGCCACCCACTTGTGGTATTCGGGTGACAGCAGCACTGGGTAATGAACACACACAAACCCACCACCTTGGAGTCGAGTCCAGACCACAGTGACCGTGTACAGGGATCTGGAGGCTGTGATTCTTTACGGGAACATCTTTCTCCTGCTGCAGAGCCGCTGGCTGGTTAGAACCCAACGCTTACCTGATCCCGCCACCAGGGCTCCCAAGACTCATGGAAGGTTTAAAAGCAGAGTTGGGACCCGGTAGCATTTGCACGAAACAAACTGAAAACAAAGCTCACTCTGGCTGTTGTGGTCTTGCATGGACTCTTGGTTTCCCCCCAGGTCTGTCAGTCTGTCCCCACGAGTCTCTTTCCCTACCTCGGGGTTCTGCACTCTGCATGGTCACGGCCCCAGGTGGGGCCTGGGGAGGGAGTTCTGGGCCTCTTACCAGGTGACAAGCAGTTCAGGCTTCTCCTCCTCCAGGGCCTTCAGCCTCTCACCCACCTCATCGTTGAAATGGGCCTGGTCCAGCCTGTAAGGAGAAAGGAAGCCTGGTTCTCCTGGAATGGCCTACATGATCCCGAGGGCCTCAGGGCCCAGGAACCTTGCATTTGCCACCCGCTGCAGGAAATCTGCTGCAGGGTGGGTCCTTTGGGAATCTGGATCTGGGATGGCGATTAGAACGAAGAGTTTGATGAGAGAGGGCCCTTGCATCAACCCCAGTGGGAGGGAATGGAGATGTGGCAGAGGGAGAAGTCGGGTTGTGGTACCGACTCCATGGAGGTCCCAGCCACCCGTGGAGGGGGTTCTCGGGCTAGCGGAGGGGGCTGGGCTTCTCTACACCTCCACACTGATTAGCCACCTTGGTTCACATAGCATGGATACAGGAACTGGTAAGGAAGCCAGGCTGAACTGTATGGATTGATCCCATCCCATTCCGCCTCGCTCCCCTACCCCTGCCCAGAAGAATCCACAGGGCCTCACCATAGGAGCTTGAGTTGGCAGCTTGAGTGCCGCAGTCCCTCGCACAGCAGGTTCACCCCCAGTCTTCCCAGGTCATTCTGCTGCAGGTCCAGCTCCATCAGGCTGGGGCTGGCACTGAGCACAGAGGCCAGGTCCTGGCAGCAGCTGGACGTGAGACCACAGCTGACCAGCCTGCAGGAGAGACATACCTGTGTCCCCAGCCACTGTCCCGAGGGCTCCCTCCTGTGTCTGGGGTCTGGTCTGCCTTTTTAGAAGGTGTGACCCTTGGCTGTCCGGGGGTGACTTCACAGGAAGAGGAAGCCTTGCCTGGTTTGGAATAATGTGGGAGACTGTAGCTCCCTCTTGTGGCCAAGTTGCTCCTTGAGACGCTGATGGCCTCCTTTTCTCACTGTGTGATTCCCACGGATCTTGTCCACTCACCCTATCAACTTGAGAGGATTACCATGCACGTGTCCATGTGTCCACCTGAGTCTAAGTGCTAACCACATCTGTGGGTCCGGAGGAAGTCAGCAAGGCCCTCCAGATCCCCAGAATGACCCAGTATCTCGGGGGACAGAAATAAAGAAGTCAGTTTTCAAATCTCTCCTGATCGAAAGAATAATATCTGGGGTCTAAAAGTCTTGCCTTCAAACAAGCAGCCATTGAAGTGAGGCGTCAGCTAAGTCCACATGGAAGAAACACCAGCCTGTGTGATCCGAAGATTGTAATAATATAATCCAAATCTGAAGGAGGGAATGATCGCATCGCTTAAACGATGAGCACCTGGTTTGCAGAATGCGATGGACGACAGTGGAAGCCCATTCATTTGCAGGGTCCACACACAGATTAAACTTCTGGTGCATCCCCTCTGATTGAACTACTGAATTATATGATATGTGAATCATATGCCAGTCAGGCTGTTAAAAAATAAGTAAAAAAAAAAAAGCCAACGTTGGGTTTTAGGGGATGACTCATTCATTCATTTAACAGTTTTATTGGAATATAATTCAACTATCATACAACTTAATAGTTCACTCATCTTAAGAAGACTTGTAGAATCACCACCATAATCAATTTTAGAACATTTTCTTCTTTCCTGCACTCATTGTTATTAGCTTCTCATTTCCGTCCAACCTCCCCTGCCACACTCCATGGAAATCATGAATGTAGTTACTGTCTCTTTAGATTGACCTAATCCTGGACTTCACATACAGGAAAACATGCAAAAACAAACAAACAAAAAGACCCAAACACAATAACAAAGTACAACGGAGAAAAGCCTCAAGAGAAAAGACAGCAGAAAACGTGAAAAACGAGAACAAATTTCTGGTGGGTCACAAGGGCGAGGAAAAGACGAGGTTACATTTTAACCTCACTGCATCTGCAATCCCCCACTTTCCAACCCTCTGAGAGCAAAGCGATTCACATCCCTGCTCTGTTCCAGAGGGGTTTTAAAAGCCGTGCTCCAGAAGTTGTGCCCCCCCAATTTTCTTCCAAGGAGCCTCTGGTGGGCTTGAATCGTCTTCATTAGCAACCCAGTGTGTTATCCATTTGCCCTCCTCAGGTACTCCGTCAGGAGCCGGGTAGCAGAGTGGTTATGGGGTGGGATGCTAGCTGCAAGGTCAGCGACTCAAAACCACCAGATGCTCCGTGGGAGAAAGACCAGGCTTTCTACTCCCGTGAGGAGTGCCAGTCTTGCCAACAGTTCTGCAGGGTCACCCTGAGTCAGAACTGGATCCATGGCGGGGCGTTGTTTTCTTTTTGTTGTTGTTGTTGTTGTTGGTGGTGGTGGTGGTATTCCATCTGACATATGAACAAAACCAAACATCCAAACAAAACCCAAGCTCAGGTTGTTGTTGTTGTCAGTTCTGACTCCTGGCAACCCCACACGCTACAGAGTAAACACATGATGAAATTCAACGAGTGATGGACGGGTCAGGTGCAGTCAGAGGCATGGGAAAGAGATTAACGGAGGGGAAGGGATAATGGGGCTGGAGGAGAAGGCGTGGAATGCTGAGTTGCTCTCCAAGTGGGAGCGGCGGGAGGGGGATTCCAGCATGCAGAGGGGATGCGATTTGCAACCTGTATTTGGCAGAAAGGCCGTATTGAGGAAATGGAATCTGAAGGTAAAGCTGGAAGACACTGCTTACTGTTGTCTTTACCCTGGTCCACTGACCGATGGGCACTCTCCCTGGTGGGATGGTAAGGTTGGCTGTGTGTGGACTGCGGCATCCTGGGGTAGGGCATGGTGGTTGCCGGCCCTGCCCTGGACCGGCAGCACCACAGCACATGCCAGTGCTGACTTGTGAGGGGCAAGCCGCTCACCCACCCCTGTTCCAGGTACTTGGCACATTCTGGAAATATTCTTGGTGGGGAGAAGCGGACTCCCATCAGCTGTGGGTGGATCTGGTGAGCCCGTGAGAGGCAGTGAATGAGTGAGGAGTGTGGTGAAGCTGCGTGGTGAAGCTGGCCAAAGGGAAGGGACAATGGGTTGGGGGAAAGGGAACACACGTAAGCCTTGAAGGATGAGTAGTTCTCCAGGGTGGGGTGGAGGGAGAGGCATTCCAAACGGGAATGGGTTCCCGCCCACACTGAGGCATGATGGGAGGGGAAACCTGGCATCTACTGGGCAGGTGTGTATGCTGAGACAAGGCCCCTCGACACCTTTGGGGGTCTACACACTTGCCCTGAAGTATCACTGTGCCCATAAAACTCCCATAAAAAGACCACGCCGAGGGCTTTCTGCGTGGGGACACTGTGGAGGCAGCATCGCTAGGTTCTCCAGCCCTTTCTTCCTCTCCACTTATGTTCCAGTCATCTGAAGAACCCAACAGCCGGGGACGCTCTCCATTGGAGGGTGGCGCTTTGAAACCACAGATGAGCGTGTGCGCGGGGTCTTTTGGTCATGAGAGAACTGAACCCCCAACACACGGCAGGCTTTGGGCTTGTCACTTCCTCTACAGTGGAGGAGGTGGACACAGCCATGAATGCCAGGCCACACGAGGTGGGTGGAAGAGCTGGGAACCAAAGAGGGCTGTCCCAAGAAGACTGGGTGCCCATGTAACTGTGAAAATGATCCAGGTGGGAACGCTGAAGTAACGGAAATCACGACTGACTGAGGCAATGCAAGAAGGGAGGGTGTGCTTTTGTGTTATCTTCAGCAGCATAACACTTGCATACAATGTCAAAGATATTCTTCCGTAATTTGAGTACTGTATTCTTTTGGGTCACCCTTTTTTTTTGAATGGGGACAAATATGGATCTCTTCCCATCAGTGGGTCAAATAGCTGTCTCCCCAATTTCCTGAGTAGATGAGCGAGTGCTTCGAGTATTCCATCAACTGGTATTCCGTCACCTCCTGGAGTCTTGTGTTTGGCTAATGTGTTCAGTGCAGCTCAGACATCTTTCAGTGCCAGTGATTCTTCCTTCTTGAAATGGTTGCACGTTGATGAATTCTTCTTCGGTACAGGGATGCCGTGTAGCCTTCCCCTCTTTTAATGTTGCTTCCTGTATCGTTCAGTGTTTTGCTCATAGTGTCTTTCAATATTACAACCCAAGGCTTGAATTTTTTTTGGAGTTCTTTCAGTTTAAGATGTGCTGAGTTTGTTCTTCCTTCTTAGTTTTCTGATTCTAGATCTTTGCAGATTTCACTTTAATATTTGACTTTGCCCTCTTCTTTTTTTTCAGTTCAAGGACTGTTTGTTGGCCTTTAGGAGTGCTTTCCGGTAGAGTTGGATGGGGTGCCACGCCCTGGCCCCACCGTCTATGACCTTGCCTTCTTGAGCTGCCCTTTGAAATGTTCTTTTCAGCTCTTTGACTTCATCATTTCTCCAAGTTCGCTACTCTACAATTGGGAACACATTTCAGTCTCTTCTGACATCCACACTGATCTTTTCTTTCCCTCCTGTCTTTTTAATGACCTATTGCTTTCTCCATGTCTTGACGTCCTCCCACAGCTCCTCGGGTCTTCTGGCATTAGTAGTCAATGAGCCAAATCTGCTTTTGAGATGTTCTGAACATTCAGACGAGATCTGCTCAACGTTGTATTTTGTGTTGTGTCTTGTGGACTTGTTTGGATTTTCTTCAGCTTTCATCCGAACTTGAACTTACACACGAGCAGCGTATGGACCGTGCTACGGTCAGCCCCTGGCCTGGTTTTAGCAGGTGATATTGAGCGTGTTCATATTCTCTTCTCACCGATGTAGTCAATTTGATTTCTGTGTCTTCTGGCTGGAGAAATTCATGTGTACAGTCATCATTTGTGTTGCTAAAGAAAGGCATTTGCTATGAACAAATCATTGGTCTTGCAAAATTCTATCATGTGATTTCTGGCTTTGTTTCTGTCACCAACACACTATCTTCCAAAGACTCCAACTTCCCCTTTGTTCCCAGCTTTTGCATTCCAATCACCAGTAATTATCAACGCATCTTAATTGCCAGTTTGATCAACTTCAGACTGCAGACGTTGGTAGAATTCTTCAATTCCTTTAACACTAGCTTTTGTGGCTGGTGCATGAATTTGAGTCATAGTTGTCTTGTATGGATTTCCTTGAATGCAGACAGATACGATCCTATCCCAGACAGCATTGTACTTCAAGATAGAGCTTGATAAGTCTTTTTTGGCGAATAATGCAATGCCATTCCTCTTGATTGTTTCATTCCCAGCATAGAAAGCCCTATGATTTTCTCACTCAAAGTGACCAATACCAGTCCACACTAGGCTCGTCAATGCCTAGAATGTCAATTTTTATGCATGCCATTGAATTTTTTACAATTTCTGCTTCTTCTAGATTTATACTTTGTGCATTCCAAATTCCAGTTCTTTATTGATTTTGCAGCTCCTCTTCTCGTTTGGAGTTGTGAGCCATCAGCAAAGGAAGGTCCCCAAGGCTTGACTCTCGTACGGTTTACTCCATTCGTGTCCCTGTGGTCGACTCGACTTTGAGAAGGCTACTCTTCCTCAGTCCTATTTTGAGTGCCTTCCGAACTGAGGGGCTCATTTTCTTTCTTTCCTTTTTTTAATCACTTTATTGAAGGTTTTTACAGCTCTTATATCCGTCCACACATCCATTGTGTCATGCATAGTTGTACATAGGTTGCCATCATCATTTTCAAAACATTTTCTTTCTACTTGCGACCTTGGTATCAGCTCATTTTCCCCCTCCCTCTCCCACCTTCCATCCTCATGAACC